GCCCTAGACCCTAAAACCCCTAAAACGGTTGGTTCCTACTTTGTCGCGCGGGTTTTGGGCTCCGGGAGGATCTTCGAACCTTCGACGGCGGCATCCCAAAGCACTGCGTCACTGGTGTCTTGTCATCATTCACAGTTCTTCTTAGGGTTTAGGGCTTAGGGTGTAGGGTTTAGGGTCTACTTTCATCCTGATCAAGACTACTTCTGCGATTCTTGATTGAAACATGTTCATGACAGTTCGTGATCGCTACCCTTGACACCACTCTGTACATATAAGGCATGATTCCGGACTACGGTTTGGCGGTGCTGTGCTTCAAGCGCAGTCATTAGTTCCCTATACATACCCCCTGGTCGAAGATGGAAGAACCCACTCTTCTAGCCGTCTGCTCCAAAACATTAAAAACGAAAGAAGAGGAACCACAAAAGCATTGCGTGGAATTAGATGACTCCTCAGACCTCTCCATAACCCTACACAAACTTATAAACACCACTTCAACTCGTCACGACCGCAATCAAAAGAGCCACATTGCCTTGGTGAAAGAAAGGACGATGATGAGGATGTAGATGCCACTAATGATTGGCCCAGATGCAGTCAAGAGAACCATTAAGTTGTAGCCTGGGCTTTTGTTTTGAAAGGGTCCTATGAAGTTACTGTTATGGGGGATACTTACTAGTACTTCCCAAGATAGAAACCCTACGCCCTACTATATAGGTAATTACTTAGGGCCCTTTAGGTTCAGGCTTCTAAATGCTCGTTTGCTTTTCCTAGAACGGCGTCGTGGTGGGAAACTTATACTGTGTAACGAGAACTGGTTAGCCACGCAGCTCACGTGGGGAAAGCGTCCCCCGACGCGCGGGTCCTCCTTAATGCTGGCAGTTTCTGTGGGGGAAGCAAAAGCACCGTGGTGCTGAGGGGGGAAAGCATTTGGGCCGTGAATATAGGGGCCTGAATAATTAGAAAATAGGGTTTGTGGGCCCATTATACTATAGTTATATTAAGGAACCCTCCAAAATAGTATAGGTAATTCTTTAGGCCCCTAAATGACTTGGGAGGAAAGCTTTTAGGGCATGTCCTCCTGGTGCTCTCGTGGCCTCCTGTCTACTGCGTCTCCTGCGAGTATCCTGGTGTTGTCCCGGTTTTCTCCCTGGTGGCCTACTGGTTGTTGTGGTCGTCCTGGTCGCTGTGGTCGTGGTGGTCGCGGTCGTCGCGGTGGTCGCGTTTTCGTGTCACTGTTTCGGGATCTACGCTGGCAGCAAGCGAGACAACATCCTATGGTGGGCCATTGATTCCCTTGAAGGGGACCTTTTGAAACATCAGCTCCAAGCCACGCCTTTAGAGCTGAACGTTGCCTGGCTTTGTTCCTTCGTAAGAACGTATACAAACCCTAAACCCTAAACCCTACACCCTGAACCCTAAACCCTGAAAGCAGGTTCACGAATAGCCCGGGCAACGTTTGCTCTGCTCCAGGTTCCATGTAAACGCCACATAGCCGGCACCTGCAAGATCTCGGTTCCCCAGCTTGCCCTCCGAACAATCACACGGAGCCTTTAACCCAGAAGCCACAGTGTTGCAAAAAGAACAAAAATTAACAAATTCACTAACAATAAAAATGATGAGAACCAACAACATTGAAAAACATAGTAGCAGAAATCATAATCAGAAAGAATAATAGAATGACTGCACTACTCGCTTTTTTATACAGCTGGAGACCATATCGCCGAGATCCTGAGACATATTTGCCCTGATACTGAAACTGCAGCCCCACCTGCTATACCCAAAGCCAAAACTAACATGAAAGCCTGTGTTCGTGGGATTTGGAAACTCGAGCCTAGGGTGATGTACTGGATTCTTGTTACGTACTTGGAGGTTCATGGGTAGTTTCTTTTTTTGTGTGGGGTTGTAAGTAGGGGTAACTATACTTAAAACCCATGTTAGGGGATTTTTAACCCCACTTATAACTACCCATGAACCTCCAACCCTGAACCCTAAAACCCCCAACCCTAAACCCTAAAACCTCCTTAATTATGCATATAACTACCCATGAACCTCCAAGTAAGGGATTCTACTTGAAGCTGCCATAATGCGGACTGGGATCGATGGTACATGAAAGGCTTTCCTGCTTAGCTAACTTGACCCTTAGCATCAAAATAGCCCAAAAGCCTTATATAATAGGGTCTTTGGGCCCAAGAGCCTTAAAATATGAGTCCTTTGATGGTAAGGGTGAAATAGACCCTGAAACCCGAAGTTTCCGAACAAGAACCCAGTTGGGGGGTTTCCGATAATAGGGGACCCTAATATAGTACCCTAGATAGAAGGATCCTTATTATAAGGACCCCAGAATAAGGTACCCTCTAAAAGAGTACTCTTGATAGTAGGATCCTTATTATAAGGACCCCAGAATAAGGTACCCCTAATTTTCGGAAAGTCCCAGTTGAAGGCTCCCGACGGGGGGGCATGAGGGCGGTGAAGCCCCAAAGCGAAACTGCAAAACCCAACAGGTTTAGGGTTGAGGGTTTAGGGTTTAGGGTTTAGGTTTCAACACCAGCGTGCTTTGAGCTTCAGGTCTAGTTCGAACCTAAACCCTACCTAAACCCCAAATAGCCTACCTTTTGAAGGACTTATAATAAAGAAATCATAACAAGGAACCCTAAACAGGTAGGTTCTTTCGGGTCCAGGTAAAGGGCCAAGACTATTTACCCTTGACGGAAGGTTTATAGGGTTTAGGGTTTGTCACTTACACCCTAGATCCCAAATACATCAAGATCCAAGAGTTCATCTAGGTTTCCCAGTAGCCCCGTGGAAATAAGGGTGCCCTGTTTTCTACTATTTGGTTTTAATAAGGGAACCCAAAAAGAAAAAGGGCAAAAGGGTCCTACTGGCAAACCTAGTCATTAACAGGTAATGATAGGTTATGTTTGTTGAATAAAAACCCCTAAAGGGTCCATGTACCCAAATAGTAGACACTTTGGTCTTCAACTAGTCCCTATATGGGTACACTGGGGCCACAGTATGTAGTATTTCGGTACATGGAGCCCTTAGGGAATGGGTTGTCTTTTCTTTTCTTGACTAGCAGAGACGGCAAGGTCCCCAAAACATGCTAGGTGCTTGCAGCAGGCACTGTTAAAGCTGCGTTCGCCAGTGCGCCACAAGAGTGAGATGCAACACGCGACAGTGCCGGCACACATAAAGAATACATACCTGCCCATGGGTCGGGTTTCACTGCGACGGCAAATCGCATGTAGGGATGTGGTTACCGTATGTTACCGTTTTAAATTGTCTAAAGTGTTTCGCATAGGTCTTTGTGTAAGCCTTGCGTGGGCGGCGCACACGCCGGTTCTGCGACTCCCGCCGCGGCACGGCTCACTCCACATTCTAACATTTCGCGCTGTCCAACTTGATGAGTCGCACTCACGTCACAGCGCCGTGCGCATGTTGGGGGTGTCTGAGCGATCGTGCTCCCACGAAATCCTAGCCGGGCCACCGTAACTGTGCAACTCCTCGGCGCTCCACCGCATGTGCAGTCGCAATCCCCGTCAAAGGGGCTTCGAACTTTGCGATGTCTGGGTTATTGTTGATTCAACTTACCGTAAAGAGGACATACAGGGATCGATAGTAAATTCTCGGATTTTTCATTTTGCTAACTTAGACCAAGGCCCTGAAGAAGAATGCAATCGAAATCGTGCTCCCACCACAGTTCCGTCCGTACCTAGGAGTTGCTCTGCGAACAGTTCTTGGGTGTGCATATACTTGGAGAGTGTGGGGTCCTTAGGTTTAGGGTTTCGGGTTTAGGGTTTAGGGCTCAGGGTGAGTAGATAACCAGTGGAGTTACAAGTACCCTAGAAGGGATCCTAATTGGGGTCATGATACTCATAACTTTCCAAAAGCTGCTTACTATGTCCCCCGACCCTCCAAGTTGCTTCATAGCCGTAACCCGTATAAAATTCGGGATGCTCATGAAGCAGGGTCGACATGACCAGCAAATGGTATATGCATCCCAAGACTAGCTTCCGGACCCTACAACCTAACCCAAAGCCAAAGTCCAAAAACAACCCTAAACCGTAAACTAGGAGTTGCTCGCAGGCCCCCCCCCTCCCCCTCCCCCACCAGTCGAGCAAACAGATGGCACGAGGCAGCGGCCATGTCCTGAAGTTCCCTTCAAAGGGTGACCTGGTGGGTCGGTGTAGGGTTTATAGAGTTTACCCTAAGCTACCAAACCCTATTCTTTTCTGTAGGGTTAGGGTCCCTATAAATTCTACGTTAGGGTTTAGAATCAGAACCTACAAAAATAACAGGTTACGCATAGGCCCCTAAGTAGTTCCTGTTTGGGATTTATAAACCGTAAAAAGGAACTACTTGGGGGCCTAAGGGTAGGGTTTTGCATCAGAACCTACAAAAAGAAACAGGTTATGGCAGCTTGAGGTAGGTGTAGGGGTTTTCAGTCTAGGGTTCGCCTCCCGTATCCACCCACCAACCATTTGGCTCCCATACGGTAGGGGCCTTCATAATTAGAATAGGATTTGCGGGGGGTGTATGTATGTATATATATATATATGGTATCTTCTACTATAAGCATAATAATAAGGAGCCCCCCAAAATAGTCTTGGTAATTTATTTAGGCCCCTATATTCGCTTGTTAAAGGGACCCTCGCTTTCACAACCGACCATGCAGGTGTCGGGACTTGGGATTTTTTTCTCGGGGATTGAACAGTGTAGAGTTCGGCGCCCTGAGCCCTAAACCTTAAAACCCTAAACCATAAAAACCCTAAAACCCCAAACCATAAAACCCTAAAGCCCTAAACCCTAAACCCGAAAGCCATAAACCCCTAAACCCTAAAACCCTGAACCCTAAATCCTAAAACCCTAAACCCTGAAACCCTAAACCCCCCAAACCCTAAACCCGAGAACCCAGGGTGCAATTTGAAGGGCTCAGGGATTACGGTGTACTTGGAGGTTCATGGGTAGTTACAAGTAGGGTTGTAAGTAGGGCAACTATACTTATAACCCATATCAGGGGACTTACAACCCCACTTATAACTACGCATGAACCTCCAAGTAGACTCTGGGTGTTCCGCTGCAGGGCTGGGGGGACTAAGGGTCTGCACTTTGAAGGATCAGGCCTGGTGCTTGGGGAGTATACTGGGTTTAGGTTTAGGGGGTCAGGGTTTAGGGGTTTAGGGTTTTGGGGTTTTAAGGGTTAAAGGGTTAAGGATTTATATATGGGGTTGAGTTTAGGGCTTTAGGGGTTAGGGGTTTGGGGTTTAGGGAAGGAGTTCAACTTTAAGTTAGCACAAGAAGGAGAACTCTACTATTTACAATAGAAGTCTGTTATGGTAACATAAACTCGTTAACAACCCGAAGGGCCCAAAGTACCTATGTAGTAGAATGTAGGATCTCTATGTTAGGAATCCTTGTTATGGTTGTTTTGGCTTGGGAAAGTATCCCGCATAACAGCAGCTAGGACCCTTTGGGCACCCGAAACCCTAAACCCTAAACCCAAAACCGTTAGCACCCTTTGGGCATGAACCCAGTACATGCTGACACAACATACAACACCCGCGCGAGGGCTCTGAAAGTCGATCCAGTGCTGGCCAACCCTGGCCCTGAACCGTGATCATGTAGGGGCCGTAATAATTAGAATAGGGATTTGGGGTATGTTGTACTATGGTAAAAAGGTAAAACAAGGAACCCCACAACAGTATAGGTAATTATTAAGGCGCCTTTACTACTTTCCAGCAGGATTGCAGAGGACTCCTGCTCCCAACAGTCTGGCTGGCGGCCATAAAATTTAGGGCTTTGTGGCTTTAAGGGTTAATCCTACTTGTTGAACCGGGCAAGAAACTTGAAACCTGACCCCTAAACCTCAAAGCCCTTAACCTAAACCCTAAACATCCCTCACCCCTCAGGCATGCTATATATATACACACACACTCACATACATACGTACATGCATACATACATACATACAGATTTTCATGCATGCATTCATTCATGCATTCAATCTTTCTTACACAATCAGACATACATACATACATGCATGCATGCATGCATGCATGCATGCATGCATGCTTGCACACACACACACAGACATGCAGGCATGCCTGCACGCATATTTCAATTTGGGTCTAGAACTCTTATAGTATCGCTTCTAGCACCCCATCTAGTAACCTGTTGCGCAGCCCTAAGCGCTAAATCCTTGAGGCGGGCGGCAGGAAGACTGTATGCTCCACGAAGGTGCCATCACTCTTGTCCCCGCACTCAAACTTCAGCATACCAGTCCAGATCATCCGTTCGAAAGCTGCTTTGCCGCAGTCCTTGGCTTTTCCCTTACAGGGCATGTAGGTTTGTCGGTTGTGAATGGGTTTTTGGTACAGGGTGACTTATTCCCGCTGTTGCCCCCCCCGACCCCGCACACGGATAGCCGCCTTTCAATTAGAGTAAATGGGGCTGTCTAGAACCAGACAGGCTTAAGTTACCCATAGGCCCCTAAGTAGATCCT